CTCTCTCTCTCTCTCTCTCTCTCTCTCTCTCTCTCTCTCTCTCAAGAAATTGGTTATTCTTTATTCTATTCTTTAACTCAACCATATTTGGATTTGTTCCATTTAATTTTACATTAATATATATAATTCTTTGTAATTATGACTAACAGATTCAATAATAAACTTTCATGTTTGCAACCAAGAAGCGCATTCTCTTTGTTTAGAACAAAGTTTATAAAAAGAGTTTCACAATATTTGAAAAAGACTGCCACAATTGAAAAATTATTGGGCATTCAAAAAAAGGTGTTCAAAGGTTTCTTCTCCAAGTTTACAAAAAGTACATAACTTGGTATCTTTTTATTTAATTTTGTACAAAAAGGTATTAGTTGCTATAATTCTATGCAAAAATTTGTATTGAAAGGTTCTTAAATAAGCATCTCTACAAAACTTTTTTGTTACCATGAAATATTCTGACCATTCTGTTGAATCAATAACCAACAGTTCAAACATTTGATTGTTGGAAGTTGAATAACATCATCTACTAAGTTTTTATATACAAATTTGGCTTTCACATTACACATGATTTTCTTTAAGAAAGTATCACCAGTGTTAGACTTATCCAAATCATGATTTAGACAGTTCTCGTCGACTTCTGTCGCAGAAAGCTCGACATAGGGATAGTGATGTGGCAGTGGCGTTAAATAACTTCTTAAAAGCTTAATATTTCAGAAGGTAGAAGACTTGGATGCTTCATACTTTGTATATAGATGCCTTATGATTTGAAGTTTCTCTCTGTCATATGTCCATTGTCCTTGACCTCATTTTCATGGTTCAGTGACTACTTCAAAAAAACGTTAAGATTTTTTGTAATGTTAATTTCTCTCTTATTATGAGTAATAGGATAGCTTTATTTGGTATGTGCGTACCTTGCAAGGTCCTCATGCCTGTCAGACAGTTTTCAGTTAACCTCTACCTCATTTCATGGATCAGTGAACAAGGTTAAGTTTTCGTGGTCAAGTCCATATATCAGACACTTTAAGCAATAGGTCTACTATATTTGGTGTGTGGAATGATTGTAAGGTGTACATGTGCAACTGACAGGTGTCATCTGACCTTGACCTCATTTTCATGGTTCAGTGGTTAAAGTTAAGTTTTTGTGTTTTGGTCTTTTTGTCTAATACTATATGCAATAGGTCAACTATATTTGGTGTATGGAAATATTTTACGATGTACATGTCAATCTGGTCGTTTTTATTTGACTTTGACCTCATTTTCACTGTTCATCGCTCAGTGTTAAGTTTTTGTGTTTTAGTGTTTTTCTTAAACTATAAGCAATAGGTCAACTATATTTTGTGTATGGAATGATTGTAGGGTGTACATGTATTTCCGGTTTGGTTTATCTGATCTTGGTTAAGTTTACGTGATAGTTGTAGTAAAGCTTTATATTTAGGACTATCAACATAAAATCAATGATCAGTAAAGCAGGCGAGACATTTCAGCATGTGCACTCTTCTTTCATAACTGTTAGGGATTTTTGAAATCAGACCATAATATTTGTTAAATTGTTGGTTTGTACTTTTAAGCTCACCTGGCCCAAAGGGCCAAGTGAGCTTTTCTCATCACTTGGCGTCCGGCGTCGGCGTTAACTTTTTACATTTTGAACTTCTACTAGAGAACCACTGAATGGAATGAAACCAAACATGGCATGAATGTTCCTTATGAGGTGCTGACCAAGTGTTGTTACTTTGTAGCGGATCCATCATCCAAGATGGCCGCCAGCGGGGGACTTAGTTTAACATTGGACCCTATGGGAAATACATACAAATGTCTTCTTTTAGAGAACCACTAAATGGAATGAAACCAAACATGGCATGAATGTTTCTTATGAGGTGCTGACCGAGTGTTGTTACTTTGAAGCCGATCCATAATCCAAGATGGCCGCCTGCAGGGGACTTAGTTTAACATGGGACCCTATGGGAAATACATACAAACGTCTTCTCATCACTTGGCGTCCGGCGTCGGCGTTAACTTTTTACATTTTGAACTTCTACTAGAGAACCACTGAATGGAATGAAACCAAACATGGCAAGAATGTTCCTTATGAGGTGCTGACCAAGTGTTGTTACTTTGAAGCTGATCCATCATCCAAGATGGCAGCCAGCGGGGGACTTAGTTTAACATAGGACCCTATGGGAAATACATACAAATGTCTTCTTTTAGAGAACCACTGAATGCAATGAAACCAAACATGGCATGAATGTTCCTTATGAGGTGCTGACCAAGTGTTATTACTATGAAGCCGATCCATAATCTAAGATGGCCGCCAGCGGAGGACTTAGTTTAACATAGGACCCTATGAGAAATACGTACAAATGTTTTCTTTTAGAGAACCATTGAAAGGAATGAAACCAAACATGGCATGCATGTTCCTTTTGAGGTGCTGACCAAGTGTTGTTACTTTGAAGCTGATCCCTCATCCATGATGGCTACCAGATGTGGACAATGTTTAACAAAGGACCCTATGGACAATACATACAAATGTCTTCTTTTAGAGAACCACATACTGAATGGATTGAAACCAAACATGGCATGAATGTTCCTTATGAGGTGCTGACCAAGTTTTGTTACTTTGAAGCTGATCCTTCATCCATGATGGCCGCCAATGGGGGGACTTCCTTTAACATAAGACCCTATGGGAAATACATACAAATGCTTCTTCTAGAGGTGCACTGAATGGAATGAAACCAAAACATGGGATAAATGTTTCTTATGAGGTGCTGATTAAGTGTTGCTACTTTGTTGCCGATTTACTGTTCAAGATGGCCACCAGGATTTTTTATTAAATTACAGGACCAATATTAAACCAAATTTGGCCTCACTCATTATTATGGTATCTGTTATGATTTTAATCTATTTTTACATGATTTCCAAAACCAAAGTAGAATCAGGTGAGCGACACAGGCTCTTGAGAGCCTCTAGTTCTTGAAATTGCTCAAATTTATAAAAATTCATATTTTCATGATTAATAAGGTCACTCACTGACTGCACACCTCCCTTTTTAGATTGAATGTAATATGGAAAATCATCCAAAGAAGAAAAGTTCAAAATATCTATAGATAAAATGTCACTGACAGAGAAAGAATTTTTACATCTTTTAGAAATCTCAATCAGTCTTTCTTTCAGAAGATGTAAACCCCTATCACCCCTATACTGTATAAGGTCTGCCAATAACAACTGCTGCCAGCCACCACTAGGGTTTGACAGCAGTCTTTTTATCCGACTAATTTTCAAATAGATATTAAAGGAATGAAGATGTACCATATTAATTCCACCTTATGAAATATCACCAATAAGTGTGTTACGCTTAATTCTGTCTGGTTTTCCATTCCATAAGAAATCATCAACTCAAAACTGCTTTTACTAATTTTCATGAAACTTTTGTAAATTATTTATATCTATATAAGTAAGCTCCCTTTCGCTTTTTATAAATTTTAAATTTTACCTTTCTGAGTTATGGGATTTTATTCATAAAAACAGGGGGGATTTTCCCGTTTTTGGACTAACTCAAAAATGCTTTGAGCTGTTTTTCATCAAACTTTGATGACGGGTTTACATGGTTTATATCTATTAAAACAAGCTCCCTTTAGTTTTTTTTTTTTATAAATTTCTGATATGACATTGAGGAGTTATGGCACTTTATTTGTTGAAAAATCGACGGGCATATCATGCACTCATGGCGTAGCTCTTTATTAACGTTATATGCAAGCGGGGGCATCATCTGTGTCCCATGCACACATTCTCAATTTACTCTATATTAATCCAATATTTTATATATATATATGTTATATTTTTACATGCCATATCTTGTTGGCAATATGCTCTTACATCTACATTTGTACATATAGTATTTAAATAGCAACAAAATATTATTTATGGTTTTACTGTTATCAAAATCTCAGACACACCTAATATGACTTTGTTTGAGCTAAAGGGCAAGAAAATGTCATAATTTCTAATCGAGTCTATCATGGACATGATGGATAGTGAAAAATTTTGGACAACATTACATATCCAAAAAGTGTGAAAAATTCTTTCTCTGATTTCTGAACAAAAAGTACATTGTTCAGTTTCTTTTAATTTACATTTCAATAAAAATGAATTACATGGTAGAATCCTATGAACAATCTTGAAATGGAAATTTTGTAAAAATGAACTTCTGGTTATAATAAAAGGCATAGAGTACCCGGTAAATAGTATTCCAATCTTCAATCTGCATATTCAGATCTATTCTGGGCCATATTTATCAGTATTGTTTTCAACTTTGAACTTATTTTGCAACTTGGAAAAATTTACCAGGATATCAATTATTAACCTGCTGTGTTTGATGCAAGCAGTGAGACATCCCAGAGATGCACTTTCATTGAACACTGTGGCCCACATACTTTTTTCCATTTTTGTGGTTCGATTGTAATGGATTTTTATCACAGAAATTTAAGTTGATAAGAAGGTAAATTGAAGAAGACAGATTAATGCTTCTTTCACTGATCATGCTGATACAGTGTAACTATGTAATTCAGTGACATTCCTTCTTTCCCTCAATCTCAAATCTAAGTTTTCCAGATTTTTTTCTTTAGGTCTACGGAAATTGAATTTAATTTTAGTACAGCAGAGGTTAATAATGACTTACAGGTGGTGTTGGCTCTTCGTTTCAGTAGACCAATTATAGCCCTTTCATAAATAAAGTACATTTCAAGACTTTTTTTTTGTCATGCCTACAGACATGACAGATTTGGATGTGAATTTTTGTACATTGTGTATAATGATGAGTTTATACAAGCCTCATTTGTTATTCGTTGTAGTTGACTAACTGCAGGCAGGATCACTCCTGTTGAACCAGAACATCTAGTTTTAAATTTAAAAATAGTTACATTTCTAGATTATAAATAATACCTTATTTTAAGTGAAACATTGGAGCAATATTTTTCACCAAACATTTAGTTCTCACTGTTTCGTTGTAGATGATGTACAGACCGAGAGGTTTTGACAGAAGAGAATGTCCTGAGCCACCACATTTACTTTTACAACAGAACAGGTTCCAGATATTGAATGCTCAGAATCAACAGAATTGTACTACTCCACTGCTGTATAAACAGACTGGAAATACTAACATGGACCTAGGTCAAGGCCACAGTACCAATATTAATATAATGCAGAACCAAGGTCAAGGATGCAGTGCAAGTGCACAGATTATTAGATGTCGTAGGATGCTTTGTCAGACTCAGGAATTCTATTATATGTTTCCATCCCCTCGGAGATCATCCATTAGTAATCATCCTAGTGGCTTTAGAACAATGGCTCAAAGAAGACTTATGCATCAAAGACTTGACTCAAGTAGCACTGGAAATTCTAATCAACATGTCATGATTGATAATGAGGAGAATTATGAAAACTATATGCAAAATAACATGTTGCCTAGGAACACAATAAATAATCGACAGGCCAATTCATTCAAAGACAACAATGTCGTGTGTGGGAAGCAGCAACTTGTACAAGAGTTTGAATGTAATGATAGGTTAAACAATCAAGGCATGAATGAAAGTATTGGACAAGAACTGCAGGCAAGACAGACCATGTCCCAGTCTCGTGTGGCTCTGTCTGATTTCATCAACAATAATTCTATAGAAAATGATCAAAGTTTTAATGGCTTAGATGATCATTCCTACAGTCGTAAGAACGCAGACAATTTTTCATATGAAGATGAGAATCATGTTAATGCAGCATATTACACAAACTGTCAAAGAGATTGCTCTGCTGAAAGACTGAAAGTTCTACAAACAAATCATTCCTATCCATGTGAAGATCAAAGATTTCAAAATTCAAATGTATGCCCTTATCAGAGGAATCCATATGTTAATACATTGAGAATAGCCAGAAATTCTAATAGCAATCACATTGTTAATACAGATAGGTCAGAAAAACAGTCGTCATGGAATCATGATGTAGAATCCAAACTGGTCAACCAACATCTGAAGGCTAAAATTGAACAACATTCATCATTGAATCGTGAGGTAAAGTCCAAATTGGTCAAAGAGTCTACATTGTTACAGTTAGCACTAAAAGATATTATAGACAGGGAAAAAGAAAGTGAGAAAGTTCAAATCGAGTCTGCCAAAAATAAAAAGAATTTTAGAATTGAAGGCTCTGCAATTACTGAAGTTCAAGAATCTGACAAAAAATTACAGACAATTAATAAAAGTAAACAATTTGGAAGTGTTACTGATAAAACTGAATCAAATATAAAATGCCATACCAGTTCAGCTGGTAAAACTGTTCAATGTATGAATGCAAATAAAAGAAATATTCCTGAAAAAGAACCATTAGAGAAAAAGAACTTCCCTAGTTCATCCAATGTTCCAACTGTAGAACGCAAAATTCTTGTAGAAAATGCTAAACTTGTTACTAGGAAAGCAATAGAAATTGAAAACATAAAAAAAGCAACTGTTCAGCAGCAGGTTAATGTAAAGTCCTCATCAGAATGTTCAAGTGAAGTTAAAGTTAGGACTCAAACAGAACAAAGTGCAGAGGCATCTTATAATCTGGCTTTAGAACAATGGCAAAAACAGAATTTGTGTAAAACTAAAACCTCTGATTCACAGAAAACAAATACTGACGATCCATACCTCCAGGCACATCAACAATTGAAAACACTGAATTCTGGCAGAAGCATAAATATCCACTCCTCAAATTCAAAGAATTGTGATCCACGCCTTGAGGCACAAAAACAGAATTTGTGTAAATCTAAAACCTCTGATTCACAGCTAACAAATACTGGTGATCCATTCCTGCAGGCACACCAACAATTGAAATCACAGAATTTTGGCAGAAGCATAAATATCCACGCCTCAAATACAAAGAATCGTGATCCACGCCTTGAGGCACGTAAACAGAATTCTACCATAAGTAATGACTCACTAAATGCAAACAGCTTTGATCAAAATACTGAAATATGTACAGCAAATGACCATAGTTACTCCCAAAGCACACCTCTGCTTCGTGATAGAAAGAATGTGGATTGTAATCTAAGTCTTGATAAGTTACAAAGTATTAACCCAGAATGTCCAACAAAAAATCCATGTGCAGAAAATAAAAGAAGTTCTGAGAACTCAAGGTTAGACAGAAAAGAGGTATCCTCAAAGGATACAGGATTTATACAGGCTCTTGTAGATGTTGTTAAAGTTATGTTTGACCTTAGGAGAAATAAACACTTTGAGGAAAAGATCATTCCAGAAGCTGGGAACCAAATTGATAAAGCGAGCAAGGATGACAACAAACTTGCAGGACAAAAGTTGAACAAAACCATTTCAGCAAACCAGGATGATTACAAACTTGTTAGACAATCAGGGAACCAGCCTAATAAAGTAAGCAAAATTGAGCACAAGCATGTCAGAAAAACGGAGAATCAGCAGATTAAACCAAACAAATCTGAGAGCAAACAGGTTGACGAGACAAGGAACCATGCCAAATCAATCGACACCAACAAAGAAAATTCCCAAAATGGAAGAGAAGATAAAGACATAAACTGTCAAGGAAGTTCAAACTTTTCAAAATCAAAGACAAGTCCTGTTCTGAGTAAAACTGTAAAAAATACAAAAGTAACAAATGAAAAGCTTGCCTCTCTTGAAACAACGAAGTCCAATGATAAACCTTTGTCGTGCAATTCAATTGCTAATGATAGAAATATTTTTACGTGTGTATTTGAAACTGGCAGCATGAAAAAGAGGACTAGGTGTGTTGATAGTGATTTCATTGAAAACGATAATCTCATGGATAAAAATAAATACCTGGATGAACACAGGAAAAAATCTGACTTGCTTGAAAAATCTTACTCCTCTCAGACTCCAGGCAAATTAAATGAAGAATCTAAGTCACTTCATACTGACAAAATTACTGAAAGATCTGACTCTTTTCATACTCAGGAGAGGCTGAATGATAAATATCCATCAGTCACCAGCATCAATGTGGAAAAGCAAATCCAACGTCTAGAAGAGTTTAAGGCTTGTTCAAAAGACATGTTAGCTCAACAAAAATCACAATTGATAGTTGACCAATGTGATAAACTGGATAATGAAACTAGTTTTTCCGATAAAGGATGTCATAAACAAGGAAAAACAATCACAAATTCTGGTGAATATTGTCTTCTTTCCAGTACAGAAAATTCTGAAGATGAATATTTGCCAGAAAAGAAAGCTGGAGAGTCTGTTAAAGAAAAACATGAAGATGGACAGAAGAAATTTGAAGCTCAATGTTTAATTTCACAAGGGGACACTTCACAGAATAATTCAGCTTCAAGTAACAAGGATACAAGTTGTTACAGGAAAGGTTCCAACAATATATCTGATAGAACAGGTCTAGAAGGTAAAATCACTTGTAAGACCCCATCACCTAAAAAAAAGTCAACAAAAGTTCAATCCACTGGTAAAGATTTCAGTTTCTTAGAACTAGGATATTGTCCTCTGGCTTTACCTCTTGGTTGCTATGCCTACGAAGATGATGCAGACAAAGATGAGAACAACAACAACTCTCCCAAAAGACTAGAAAATGAGCCTGACATTGTTGCCACAAATAAACACATGAGAAAGCTTTGTGATGAGAAATACAATCATGACAATACTGAGATTCTAAGACCATGGGTTATAAGATATCTGGATGAAATCTCAAAACCAACAATTCGCGAAGAATTTTTAGACAAGATGGACTTGGAATTAAATGAGAACAAAGCTAACCATCATGATATATTGCAAGCTTCTATAGCTTCTCCTGAAAACGATTACAGCGAAGAAGACGATATAGAAACTGATCACAGGGAATCACCACTGATTATTCCATTGGACAGTCACTATGCGAAAGATATTATGAAACCTCATCAGATAAAATCAACACTGGCTATTTCATTGGACGATACACTGTCAGATTTAAATTCCATTCCAGTTTCTGATGAAGAATGTGATTGGTCATTGGGGGAGTTTGAAAAGTCTGAAGATGATAGCAGTAAGGACAACTACAGTGATAGGGTACCAGGCAGCTACAGTGATGCGGTACCAGGAGAAAGTGACCAAAATGAGGATAATACAGACAGTGCTGTGGGCAAGTCCACTTATTCAAAGAAAAGTTTACAAAGTGAGTCTAATCCTGAAAGTAGTGGAAATATTCAGGATGTTAATATTACTGATCACAATTTGATTGACAGGTCAAGTACAGAAGTGACTAAATACACAAAGAATGAAAACCGGGAACATTTATTACAAAGAGAAACTCCTCTTATGAAAGATAACTCTGTAGACAATCAAGCCACAAATTCTAAAACGGATAGTTCAGTAAGTTGTAAGATCCAAAGCAATGAAAATGTATTACAGCAAAAAGAAGCAAACTTTCATCAGGAAACTGATAATAAGAAGGAAAAATATCAAAGAAAAGATATGATATCAAATATTGAGACTAAATCAGATAATTTAGAAAAAGTTGAAGGCATGGGAGATAACTTGATATCAACTCAAGGAACAACAAAATTGTCTAGTTTATTGAAAAACAAAGTGATAGATTCTGCTAGTAGTTCTGCTCTGTCAACTAAGAAAACGAGAATCAATAAACGTTTTTCTCCAACAGAAAATCAACTGTTCCAGGAAGCAATGAACTTTTTATGTAGTGGAAAAATTAAAGATAATAATGAGAAAATTATAGATTGTTTCTCAAATTCTTCAATACGAACCAGGCAAAAGTCTTCTAACATGGGTAAAGATGTTGAACAAGGGGAGGCTAGAAAGAAAAAGCAAGAGAAACCAAGTTCTGTTGAAAAAGATATTGTACATGCAACCAATGTGAAGAAGAAGAGATATTGCAAGCCTTCGAAGGTCAAAGAATTAAAAGAGAAACAAAAAATAATTTTGGACAATTTAAAGTCACAAAAAGAAATTATCAGTTTAGAGAAAGAGCAGGAAGAAAATGATGAAAATTGTGATAGTATTGATGAAACAAAAGATCATTTTGAGCCAAAGACAAAAAATACAGAATTGGATAAAAAAGTAAACAATGGTTCTAAAGACAGAAAAATTTTGGTAGAAGATATTGAAAAACAGGAAGAAGAAAAGTTTGATTACTCTTTTGTTGAAATGCCAGTTAGTGAACAGTCAAAATGTTCTTTGAAAAGACCTGAAATTTCTATGGAAGTGTTATCAAGCAAACAGAAAGAACTTTCATCAGGAGTTTATAAACAGAAAGACCTCCCACTAAAAAGACCAGACATATCTCCAGAGGAATCAGAAGCATTGACAGGCCTTTTAACTTTAGGAGAAGGTCATAAGAGTGTAGAGACCCAGACATTGTACAACACAGACTTGGCAGTTTCTTCTGAAAACGGGACTATACTGAACAGCTCATGTGAGTTTAAATCTGACAATACTAACCACAGCAGTGGTGAAATCATACAGACCAGTGAACTAGAAAATAAAATTGACCAACGCATAAGTAATTTATTGGAAGATGTTAGAGATAAAATGTTAAATGATGATAAAAGTGGAAAGAATGGACAAGTTAAAGGAAAAAACAAACAGAGGGAAAATGTTCAATATGATAAAAAAGGCAAGCAAGAACCAAATCTTGAAGGTGATGAAAATGACAAGCAAGAACCAAATCTTGAAGATGATAAAAAAGAAAAGCAAGAACCAAATCTCGAAAATGATCAAAAGGAAAAGCAAGAACCAAATCTTGAAGATGATAAAAAGGAAAAACAAGAACCAAATTTTGAAGGTGATAAAAAGAACAAGCAAGAACCAAGCCTTGCAGATGTTAAAAAGGACAAACAAGAACGATATCTTGAGGGTGATAAACAGGGCAAGCAAGAGCAAAATCTTGAAGGTGATCAAAAGGACAAGTGTGAACAAATTCATGAAAGGCACGAAAAAGACAAGCATGAAGAAAATCTTAAAAGTAATAAGCAAGAACAAAATCTCCAAAGCAGTAAAAAAGAAGAACACATTAATCATCCTATGCCAATTCTTATTGCAGCAGCTACTGAAAATGACAGATCTGTTCCTATTGATACCACTGTGCAGCAGAGTGAATCAACAGGGGGACAGACAGTTACAGCTTCAAATGATACCCCAAGTCCTCTTTCTTATGAATATCTAGAACATAGCGATAGTGATACAATACCATTGGTAGAAAAACCAGTTGTTGAAGAAAAAACTCCAGGAAAATGGCTTATTCCAATTTTAGAACGACTGAATATTGACATTTCTAAAGGACGACTCATTGTTACAAAGACTGCACAGAAACTTTGTATTAAGACAGGGACATTGATTAAATCTACATGTTCATATTCCAGTCAAGCCTCATCTGTTCAAGATAAAGATAGGAATATAAATAATTGTGAAATTGATATGAGTGCAGATGGAGACAAGTCTGGTCACCATGGCAATGATAGGCAAAATTATGATGATGAGCTGGACATTGAAAATGTAAATAGTTCAATAACAAGAAGTATGAAAAGAAAGAGAGGTCAAACTTTAGGCGAAAATTCTATGGAACTAAGATCTCAATTTACAACAAATATCAAGAAATGGAAAAAGTTTAAAGGTCATGTGAAAGTTGATGAAGATATTGTATTACCAAGAATCACTAGAAACAGAACATTGCAAGTTTCCAAAAACCCTACACTTAACCTTCCAAATAAAAATGTAAATCTGAAAAAGAAAAAAACTTCAGGCATAAAAGAAATTGAAACTGTAGCAAAGTTTCAAGAAACTAGTGAAAATAAAAGTATAAAATCCTTGCGTTGTAAAAAATCAGATTCTTCAAATAAAAAAAGTAAAGGTAAAGGGACAAAAAGAAAACTTGAGTTTGATCTTAGAGAAGATGAAACAAAAGAGAACATAGAGGAAATCGTTGATAATAAGGATGAAAACCAAATGAAAACAAAACCACCAGAGGTTAAAAAAAAGAAAATTTCAAAATGCAGGAAAAAGCTTAATAAAAATAGCACTACAGAAGACAAATCAACTGAAAATAAAAGTCCTTCATCAGAATTAACTGAACAGAAGGACAATTTAGAACAACTGGATAAAAATCAGAAGTCGGAAGATTTAACCAAGCAAAAGCTTAAAAAAAATGTTATGAAAAAATCATCTATCAAATCATTAAAGTCTCTGTCCACACCTAAAACTAAGTCTCTAAAAGCAAAATCTAAAAAGAACACAATGGCAGATGGTAACAAGGTTTGTTTTCGCTTAGTGACTGAACCATCAGAGCAGAAAATTGTTCGACTAAAGGCTGAGGCACTGAAGAAGTTATATGCAACAAAGATTTGTGCCTATTGTAAACAAACTGTTCCAAGTAGACAGTTTAAACACCATGTGAAGATTTATCACCCATACAGATGTGCTAAATGTGGACTTCTTTTCTCAGATAAGGTAAAAATTGTCTCCTTTTATAATCTTTGAATATATTAGTAAATCGTGTACAGGTATATGTATGATAACACCATACACAAGAAAGAAAATAAAGGTGAAAAATACATGACTAGTTGGTCACAATCATATCCAATGCTCAAAGTTTATATGTGTAGAAATGTATTAAAGTGAAAGTAGCATGTTCATTAAAATGATGTAACTAAAAACATACATATAAAACCAACTGAAAAATACATGATCTTGAAGAAGGAGCTAGTGGATCACCTACCATCAAAGAAACCAAAAGTCACGTCATAAATTTTAGAATGAAAATATTTTTTCTGAAATGCTTTGATCTTATAGTGCAACAAATAACATTGTGTTGCCTTTTTTTGTTTGTTTCTCAGTCTGCTTTTAAACATTTCAAGTATTAACCATCTCCAGATTTTTTTGTGACATATGCTAAAACCTTAAGTACTCATCAGAACAACCAATTTTGTCCATGGTCAACTTTCCTTGACAGAGTTATAGCTATAGATTTAGTATAATTGTTAAGTTAATAAGTGAAAATTTAAATTTAAAGATGGAAACATGGAAACAAGAATTTTGATTTGTCAATTTTCAAAAATCAAGAAGTATCAAATTTTAAAGCAATTATGAGAGTTCCTGTATGAAAAGATTTCCTTTGTATATGATTTATTTTTCAGGAAGAGAAGTTAGGACATCGAAGGGAAAAGCACAGTAGTCAGCAGTACCATTGTATAATTTGCAATAAAATATTTGACGAAAAGTGGCATTATGGACATCATATCAAATCATTAGTTCACAGAAACAACCGAGAAATCTACAGGCGAGCTATTAATATAATGAAATCCTGTATAGGTTTAGAACTTGGTGAGTCCATTACGATATTTTATTACATGTATGAACTCTTATAATGAAAGATTATGTGAGGTCGTAAGCTCACTCAGTCCAGCATGAGCTTTTTTATCACTTTTATGTTTATTGCCCATCCTGCATTGTTAACTCTTTTTATGCCCTACCTAGGGGCATTATGTTTTTTGGTCTGTGTGTCCGTTTGTTCGTCTGTTCGTTCTTCCGTCTGTCCCGCTTCAGGTTAAAGTTTTTGGTCAAGGTAGTTTTTGATGAAGTTGAAGTCCAATCAACTTGAAATTTAGTACACATGTTCCCTATGATATGATCTTTCTAATTTTAATGCCAAATTAGAGTTTTGACCCCAATTTCATGGTTCACTGAACATAGAAAATGATAGTGCAAGTGGGGCATCTGTGTACTAGGGACACATTCTTGTTTTCTCTCCTTTTAGACCACTGTGTATTAGCTTCAAAATTAACTCCCAAGTCTCAATAAACTAAACAACATAACTAAGAAGGACATAAGAATTAAACAACAAAAATTGTATTTATAGCCTGAAATTACCTTTATTCGTTAAAAATTGCCTATCATTTACAGCAAGATACACAAGTGGATTCATATATTGTGTCTATTATTATAATACACAAGTATAAACTTTTCTCTTGACAACTTTTTTCTTAAATTTAAACTGAAAACATTCAATCCAAACTGAGTATTTGTCTTGAGCGGTCTAAAGTGTATGCAGATCTAGAGAAAACAGTGAAAGCTTTCTGTATAATCCACAAAATATATTGAAAATAAGTGTTATGAGGTATCCAAACTGAGACCAAATATGGCAGCTACCATTGATTATAGTTTCTAAATAAGACATTATGAAATAGTACACTAAAACAGTCTCATATTAATCAAATGATTGGTAGCAAGAGTGTCTTTCAAAAGTATATGTAGCATCCCTTTTAATTTTTTGTATACCCCAGTCGCCTTGTAGAGGAGAGGCTTTATACTAGTGATGCACATGTTTGTCCTTTCAACAGTCCAATACAAGTTTGGTTTCTAGAAGATAATTAAAGAACTGCTAGAGCAGATCTTTTGAATGAAATAAACAATGTCATGGATCATAACATACATGCCAAATTCAATGTTAATGGTTTTGGCATATTTGCTGTCCAATAGTATATCTTAAAATTTAGTTTTTTTTTCATCTTTTTTGGATGATAATGAAAATACAGCTTGATTAAATCTTTTAACATATGAACACAAATGTCACGAACCTTAACATACAGGTAAAGTTTGTTTAAGGTGATTTTGATATTTCCGGTTCAAGAGTTATATCCCTTAGTTATCTAGTAAATTTGATAATTTTTTGGGGTTTCAAGATGATAGTTCATGTACCACTTAACCAACGATTTTTAAATTTGAACATAATGTCATTGACATTCAAAAATAAACAGGTCAAGTTAGATTTTAATGGTATGACATATTGTGTTCAAGAGTTATTTCCCTTTGTTACCTCAAAATTTTTCTTATTTTTTGGATCCATAGTAATCAGGAAAGTACCATTTGACACATTCTTTTATTAATTTGAAACATTACATACAGGTTACATTCACTAAAAATTAACCAATGAGGCAAACCATTGCAACTGCTGTCTTTTATATTGGCAGAAGTTGCTGAAATAGTTTATGAAGTCTCTTTTGATCTTATATTTTCAGTACCTGCCTCTAAAGATCTGATGATTTTAGAAGATGGCCATACAGATAGTACTCAGAAATCGTTGGTTCCTGTTGAGCAACGTGTTAACTTATTTTGTAGTACAGAAGATGTTACATTATCATACCATGAGCCAGAGGTACAAAAGTTATTAAATGAACTTTCAGATGTAAAATCAGTTATGTTAAATTTGGTGAAAAGTAATTCTGATTTCTCATTTGGTCAGTTTACATCCAGTGGTCAGTCTGATTTCTTTGACTGTCAGATTGCCAGGCAAGTAACACAAAATTTCATTAGTGATACAGTTTACTCAAGTGAAGATGCACAATTTAATGATTTAACACTGTGTTCTGAAAATGCTTCATTGATGTCCCAGAATGCACTTGCTAAAGATAACTATTCATCATCCTCATCTTCTACTTTGTCATTTGATGATCCAAATTTTAGAGATTGCCATACCAATACTAGCCAACAAAATAGTACAGGAATGTCATTCATGAATCCAAATTTTCGAGCTTGCCTTACCAATACTAGCCAACAAGATAGTACAGGAATGTCATTTGAGAATCCACATTTTAGAGCTGCCCGTACCAATACTAGCCAACAAGAAACTACAGGAATGTCATTTGAGAATCCACATTTTAGAGCTGCCCGTACCAATACTAGCCAACAAGGTAGTACAGGAATGTCTATTGATGATACAAATTTAAGAGATTGCCTTACTACTAGCCAACAAAATAGTTCTGGAATGTTTTTTGATGATCCCAATTTTAGAGCTTGCCTCACCAATAATGGCCAACAAGATCATGTTAGACATTCGTTTAATGACACAAGTTTTAGAGCTTGCTGTACCAGAAATAGCAAACTGGAAAACGATACCCTATCATTTTGTGATCCAGGTTTGAGAAGTTGCCCAACAAAGATTGTGCAACCATATATTGACAATACAACTGTCGTTTCCAAGACTAATAGTTCTCCTACAACCAATGACATGTTAACAGATGCATTCAGACTGCTTGAGGAGGAAGGCTATTTTGAGAATGATCAGATTACATCTATTACTTCTGATATTGATGTATCTGAAATGGTAAACAACAAAGAATTTACAAATCTGACTAGAACTCCACTTGTTATGGAGCAAAAGTCTTATCTGCCTGGGGTCCCAATTGAACAATATCCTAAGTTAACTGGAATTCAAGTAGAGCAAAATCCTAAAATGCCTGAAATTTCAGTGGAGCAATGTTCTAATCTACCTGGGATTCCACAGGAGCAAAATCCTAGTATACCTGGAATTCCAGTGGAGCAATGTTATAATCTATCTAGGATTCCCATGCAGCAAAGTCAAATTGATATCATCAATGAAAATACAGAGTCAACTGAAAATTATTCATTACTAGAATTATCCTCTGACATTCCTAACAATGCACAGCCGAACATTACCACGGCTGATTTTTCTGAGCAGAACCAGCGGCATTTTAATTTTGATTCTTTCAGTAGCTCAATGGGACAAAATGTAGAAAATTTCAATGTACAATGCAAAAATGGACAAAATTCTAATGTACAATTCCAAGATGACCCCAAGTTTAATATACAGTGCCAAACTATGAAGTGGTCTGGAAATGCACAGTGTCGAATTGGACAGAATTCTGATAAATTGCAGTGTGAATTTGGACAGAATTTTAATGAACCATGCCAAATTGAACAGAATCTCATTGTACCATGCCAAAATGAAGAGCAATTCAAAGCACAATGCCAAAGTAATAATGAAGATAAGCAAAGAAATGTGCAAGCTGAGTACTTTGCAATTTCTCAGGAAATTGCACAAGACGAAGGAATGGAGTTTTAGAATTCTTCTTATTAATACGAATGGTTATTAAACTAAACCAGTTGTAATTGTGAATTTGTATTATAAGAGTACTAAGTGGGGTATTTTAATGGATTAGTTTCTGTTGACTAAGAAGCCTGATGAGTCATTAAATCAAAATTTATTTTTGTGTCTTGAAAGACATTGCACACCTTCATCTCGTCTTTCATGTTGTCAGCATTGTACAAATGTTGTAGGTACTGTTTATGGTAAAAGTTTTTTTTAAAACATTTATACCTTTGTCAAATTTTCATAGAATTTATTGAAAATCAGGCATAAGCTTCTCCTTGATAAAGAGATAGCATAGCGTCTGGAGCAAAATTTTGAAAATACTTTTTTAATTTTTCCATTTTTTATTTAGATTTTAGGTTCAGTCTTGAACAAGTTAAATTTTTAGACTTAAAAAAAACCTTGTCAAACCTTCATGGAATTTTATGAAACTTGGAAGTTAATTTAAACATTTGATATATTGAGACAGTATGACTGTATATCTATTTACCTTGTGGGTCAACAGGCTTCTCAGAACCCATTCTAATTTTTACAAATATACAAAATTATAAAAGTACATAAAGTATAAAGACTGTAAAACTCTCATATTCATATTTGTAGTTTAGACTAATCAAATATTGTATATATTCCAAATTTGTGTGTTAATTTATCTGTATGAAGGAAAACTGGTCACAATTTATTATCATCAAACTTTGTCAAGGTTTGTGTGCAGTGTTTTCTTATATGATCTGTGCAATAATCTTGTATACATTGTCAGGGTTTATAAACAGTCATGTGACTGTACTAAGTTGGTACTGGTAATTTAAATGTTTGCAATGTTTTATTTTATTCAATAGATATGAAGTGATTGAGTTTACATTTTATAAACCCTATTTATCTATTCACAGCCAGACAGCAAATACAACTATTTTTATGAACTGATGTAAAAAAAAACTTCTTAAAAATTATGACCTTTTAAATTTTGGAGGAATTTAAAATAATATTGCCATCTAAAGCATGCATGCTTATAAAGTGAACAATTTAATAAAACTCACATTTCATATTAGTAGACAGTTTCTCATATTGCATTAGATAATTTCACAGCTATGTTGGTTATAAAGAATTGCATTCATAAATTCGGACAACAATTTCAGAATTAGCAGTATAAATGGAACATTAAGATGTTAACTATGCTTTTAGGGTTTAATAAACCATCCAAAAAGTTGTTTTTGTGAAGATTTTGTTAATTTTTTTTGTGTATCTATATCTGTGAATTTATTTTAATTTAATGTTTGAATGTTGAGATA